GTTAGGAGAAAACAGGAAATTGCACCTCCTGCACGTAGGAAGTTTTATGCCTACAACTATGATTACAATCCCAACAAGCTTAGAGCTGCAAGGAAAATTCCCTGCAACTTTAAACTTGATGTAGGAACACATACCATTAACTATTCCGGACCCAAACTGAATTGGGTACCAAAATCTTCCTCCTCCTAATGCAGGAAGCCGCTAAGTACCCAGGTGTCTGGTACTTAGACAGTGGCTGTTCAAGACACATGACGGGTGATGCGAGCCTTTTGAGCAATCTAATTCCCTATGATGGTCCAAGAGTTACTTTTGGAGGAAGAAACGATTTTGGCCTTACTAAAGGGCTAGGAAATCTGGTGTACAAGGGACTAATCATCCAAGCGGTATCTTATGTTGAAGGACTCAATTATAACCTTCTTAGCATAAGTCAGTTTTGTGATAAAGGTTACTCCTTGGAATTCTGCAAGGACATGGCATCTCTCAAGAACATCTCCACAAATGAAGTCATTCTCACTGGGAAGAGAATCAGAAACATCTATGAAGTGATATGGAACGATGTCAAGGAAGCATGTCTAATCAGCAAAGGTGACACTAACCTTCTATGGCTTTGGCATAAGAGGTTAGGTCATCTCAACTTCAAAACTCTCAACAAGCTATCCAAAGAAGGGTTAGTAGAAGGCCTTCCCAAAGCTGTATTCAGGAAGGAAAGCATTTGCGATGCGTGCCAGAAAGGAAAGCAAGTCAAATCTACTTTGTAACGCCCCAAAACATACCCTAGAATTATTAATGAATTATTAATTAATTAATCAAATTTGTTTTGATTAAAAATAAATTTTTGTTGGGCCTTGGGCCAAAATAAAATATGTTTTGATATCCAATATCATGATTCGGATAAATCTCATAGAGATTAATCCAATATGTTGACTTACTGTGTGACCTTGATTGGGAACCTGAGTACTTACCCAAATCAAGGATAAATTAAGAAATTTATTTATGATATGAACTTTGAAATGATTTATTGAAATAAATCATGAGAATAAATAATATGACTGAAATGTAAGAACCTTTTTGAGTAAAGGTCAATTAAATCAATTTTGACTCTGTCAAAGTCAACCACCCAAAAATATGATGTCGGAGAAAGTATTACAAATAAATATAAAAATTATATCGTTGGATAGAGTTTAAATGTACGATTACAACGGTGCAAACGGATTTCAATTCGGAGAAAGTTGGACCAAAAAGTGTTCCCCGACTGGGACCAAATTAGTCCCAATCAGGGACTTGCGTTTGGAATTGTAGAGATAGGCCGTCCGCTCCACTGAGACGCCAAAACAGGAGAATGGAGTCATCACCATGTCTTCTTCCTCTTCCTTCTTCTACAAAAGACTACCACAACTCCCTCCATTCTTCACCATTTCTTACAAAGTTTCATTCTATTCTGTTGCTCGGAGTGAGGAGAACGTGGTGGTGCTGTCGTATTGGTGTGAGATCGCCGGAGTTGAGAGCTATCGTCGCCGAAAGTTTCACCAGAAAATCTTCAAAACCTTCATTTACCTTCGAGGTAAGCCCGTAGATATATCTAATGACTAGAATGTTTGTATAGATCGTTTCTACGTTCATAAACGGTCGTTTGGTTGAGTTTTGTGTTTGACATGCTTGAAGAACCAAGAATCATAAACCATTAAATTGATGTTAAAACAATGAATTACTGATGCCAAAATGATCTTTGAACCTTGGAGAACATTTCTATATAGTTTAATCGAAGTTTGGAACCTAAAAATGGAATTCCCGAAATTGAAGTCGCGAGGTAGAAGACGATGAACAGTGGCTGAAAAGCCACTGTCTGGATCAATCCAGGGGCTTGGATCGATCCCCTGGGAGTAAATTTTCATGGTATGGATCGATCCAGAAGGATATATCGATCCCCCGAATTTCTGATCCGAAAATTTGTCTGAAAATGTTATTTTTGAGCTCTAAAATCCTATTTTTGATAACAATTGATTATGATCATTATAAAAATGATTTTTCACATTAAAATTAATATTTTTAACAAATAAATCGTTATGTGATGCATGACGGTAAGTTAGGGTGTTAACACCCGAAGCTAGGCCGCTAATTGTTATTGAATTGATGAATGATTATGGTAATGATTATTAGTTGGTGATTATGATGATTAAATCTTGATAAATGTTTTGATTAAAAATGGTAATTATGAATAATTAAATCATAATGAATATATTGATGATTGTGAAAATAATATGTATTGTCAAGGGTATCTAGAAGACCTCTAAGATATACCCATATAAATGTTGATTTGAAAGATATCTAGAAGAACTCTAAGATATACCCATATAAATGTTGATTTGAAAGATATCTAGAAGAACTCTAAGATATACCCATATTAATGTTGATTTGAATGGTATCTAGAAGAACTCTAAGATATACCCATATTAATGTTGATTTGAAAGGTATCTAGAAGAACTCTAAGATATACCCATATTAATGTTGATTTGAAAGGTATCTAGAAGAACTCTAAGATATACCTATTTAAGTTAGGCCTTGCGGGTATGAACCCCGGTGGCTAGGGTTAAAACGTACGTACGGGATCCAAGAACCAAACTTGAGTAC